AAAAAAAAGTCAGAAAGGAGAGGATGAATACACAATGCTGTTCAAATATAGGCCATTAAACTCATTACATATCAATATGCTATCTAAAACTAACATATTAACTTAATTTTCAGATGTGTGGTATGTTCCAGCTTCATACTACAAACAAGGATTCCAAGTCACTTCAGATGCTCATAGATGCCACAGGGAAGTTTAAGCCAAGTTGTGATTTACATAGCTTTTTATTATACATATGCAAAAATCAACACTCTGAGGCACCATAAGCATCATTGACATATCTGCGGGAAGAATGAGCATTCATGATTGAACCATCAGATTATATAATGATTTGTTTACAGATTTTAAATTTTAATATATATTATTTAGTATATTTCTCATTAAAAAGGTAGTCCTGGCATAATATCATTGTAACTTCATTCATTTATCTAGTCTCAGAAAATATATCTCAGCAAGTGCAGGCACAAATGCCTAGCTATGAAAACATGGAGTCATTGCAGGGTCTCTGGTACGTCAGCACTTCTGGTACTCAGCCACTCCTAAGTTCTGTCAGGAGGTTAGAAATCAAGGATGTCCTCTCTGAACCCCATAACCCCACAGGAGGGTCTCCATTACCCTCTTGCATCCTTATCCTTTTCCATTTCTAGACTCTGTGTAAATTATTCTAAATTGATACCAATCCACTTTTCCTTTGCATGTTCCCTCCATGTAGTAAGAGTGAACCTTACCATCAAGCTTTGTTATGCTTTCTCAAATTTATATTAACTCTGCTTCTGTAATAGCTTTGATGATGATTCTTTAAGTGACCTAAACTACTCAGTCATGACAGCAGTGAGATCGTATTATTCCTTATGTGTATAGACAAAAAAACCTTGAAAAAACAAGACACCAAAGAACAAGACAGGAAACAGAGGCTCAAGAAAATTTTCTGTTCAAGGACAGTGCAGCAGATCAGCAGAAGACTCTAAACTAGGATTTAGGAGACACATATTTAATATTCCTTGTCTAGAAAGTCACTCATTCCTGCAAAACAGATTTTTAAATTTAGACAGGAAACAAACAGATTTAGGCAAAACAAAACAAATGCTATGGAAATAAGGACCAATAGGATTCAGATATTAAGTCTTCCTGTTGATAAAGTACTTAGCTGATCAGGTTGCTCCTGCCTCCATTATGTGAGGATTTATTTAGTGATTCTTCACCTTTAATTTTAGAAGAGGTAGAGGATCTTTTGACCAGTGGTAGGTAGCCTTAACATCTCATGCTTTTTTGTTTGTTTTATGAGGACACAAGAAAATGTAGTCTGATAGATGCTTATTACGGGTATGAATTGCTATGGTATGGACTATTTAAAAAGTAATTTTCATTTGAAAAAGAAGTATATTTTTCCCTTTCATTGCATTCCTCTTTATATTTGTGTAATATTTTCAATTGGCTGTGGCTAAACATAACGATACACGATCTTTAGGTTCAAATTCAGACAATATCTCATTAATAACTAAAGAAAACGGAATTATTTTTCTTTTCTTTGAGAAAATCTGTAGATTTTTTCTGTCTCTGTCTCCTGAAGTCATAATGAATTTGTTCAGTATGTTTGGGTGTTAGTTATTTGGAAGAAAGGGGTATCCGAAGGGGTGTCCTTCCCTCAGGTCATTGTGCATGGATGTAGTCTGAAAGGTTTATACTCTGCATACAATAGAACACTGAAGTGCTTTCGTGGCTGAGGTAACCAGAGGACTCCTGTGGATCCCTGACCCCTTGCTGAAGATTAACCCCAATGTTTCTATGTGCTTTACATCTATATTCTATTCATTTCCCATTGCCCAGTTTTAAGTCAAGGAAATTACTTGTAGGATTGAAACAGTGATAAAGGAGGAATTTGTACAAAAGAAACATGCAGTTTGTGAAGAATTTAACTTTAGTTTCAAGGGAAATGCTATCAATCTTTTCTGGAGTTTTTTTTAAGATGGTTCTATACACAAATGCTACTATGTTTATTTCCTTGAAAATAAATAAAGGAGAAACAAAACTAATATGACACAAACAAACATTTAAGGGTCAAGTTAAAATAAATTTTAAAAATTAATGATGGCAAACTATCTACAGTATTTTAACACAGTCATTTATTTGCCATATATTTTTAAAACCAGTATGGGATAAATAATATTTAAGAATCACAAGGTCTGAATTTTTCAATTGCTTTACAAAGTAATGTTACTTAGGTTTTTTTGTTCTTCAAACAGCTAGAAAGAGCATCTTTGGTTTTGTCCTTTTGGAGAACAAATGCAATGTGGTTTGTGGTCATATTCTAGGATCATCCACTAGCAATAAAAAAATGTGTATTTTGACAAATATATTGTGTAAATATGACAGCTGTAAATGAAAAAATATAGATGTGTCAGAGTCTCTATAGAAAACTGACAGAGCAGCAAGTATCTTAAGCTTAAATGAATGCATACAAAGATAAAATTTTATGTCTGATATGAAATAGTACTCTAGAGAACAAATTTCAGAAAGGTGTAAGCCATCAGATCCAGGAAGAGGAAAAATTGAAGTAGTCTGTGTAGAATTCTCAAATTTGAGAGGTATTTTTTTTATCAAAATTGTCAGTATTCAGGCAATCAACCTCAGGATGTGTTTCTTGGTGGCAGGAATGAGATCAGTGTCCTGCCACACTGCAGTGGGGAGGTTTAAGGGGAAGAAATTTCATACAAATACTCCTCATGTATAGAAAACAGATCAAGGAGATGCTATGCAATTTCACATCAATGATGCTTCATGGTCCCACAAGCTATCTGAGCTGGCACAATCAATCCTACACATGGGCTGAAGGTTCAGCATCATCATAACTCATTCTGAGACAAGTGGGTCAGGCACTTGTCCAGGGGAAAACCCACCACTCTTTGACATACTTTGCTTTGGTTTCTAGAGTTATTCTGAAGGCAGATCCACTCACCAGCAGATTTAATCCTGAAACCACACCAGGGATAAAGCTGATGCTAAGAAAGTGACAGGATGAAGAGCAAATGGAAGAACCAATGTGTCTAACAGAAGCACAGTGTAACACCAGTTTAACCTGACTATGGAACTGCACACTTCTTACCTTTGTGGATCAAATGCTTGTTTTAATCTCTTAATCTATCTTCCTTATTGCTACAAAATGCCTGCAAACCTATCTCACAAATGTCCCTCTCTCTAATGCAGTAGATAAGGAGGAAGGTGCCTGCTGTAGTGGTCATTTCTCAGTGGAATCTAAAGGGAAGGTTAAGAAAAAATGTTGAGTTTGTCCATTATGCTTTTATCCAGTGATTTTTTTTTTCCTTAGCATTTTAGTCCTATATGTTCAAAATCTAAATATGGTGGTAATTCTTTCTTTCATAGTTATATGTGCTCAAGACCTTAGAGGGAGCAGGTCTTTATCCTAATCAGTTTATTTCAGTAAAATACAGTAGCATAGACTTAAGATGCATTTTATATACAGTAGTCATCCTATTAAATAGTCAACAGTAAATGGATGGAAATTAAATTTTTGTCACTATTCTTATTTGTATAGTCCAAGTAGCCTTTTCTTTTGTTGCCATATGAAAATTTTGGAATATCTTTTTATTTTTGTATGTTGTATGTGACAAGTTTTGTATATTTACTAGAGTGCTATTTTGTAACACCAGATGCAATTTTCTAATGCAAGGATTACTGAAAGGGACAAAAAAGTAATAGGTGTTTCTTTTCTGTTTTTCTACGTGTGTTTCACACTTGACAGCACTCCATGCATAGTTCATTCAGATTTTCCCCAGGGTAGCAAATCAATAAGCCTTTGCTGTTTGAGTCTTTTGCTCAACAACAGAGGAAAAGAAAAATATTTTAAAGAATATAAGCTCACAAGTATTGACAGGAAGGCTTAAAGGCAGATCGACCATCAAAAATTACAATGTTGTAGTGGACACACACTAGGTATGTGCAGAGTGTGGGACAGGGGCAATGATGGTACCTGCCCATTACCCTATCTTTCTCCTGTAGGCATATTTTGTGGATTAATATATTTTGGAAAGATGAATCCAAATCCTGTATTTGTTAATAAAACTGGCTGAATATTTACTGGTTTTCAATATGGAGTCCTACCTGTTCAGTTTCTCTCACACCTTCGTTTTGGCAGTACCACTGTGTTTATTACATTACAGACTTTGCCAATGCAATTACAAGTAAATGTATACAATCATAAAGGAGAAACTTCCTTCATGTTCTTTGTTCTACAGTGGCTATCACATCTAGTATGACAAAGTTATGGTGTAGTTTTCAGTCTTTGATGCCACTACTTTAAATGTAAGTTGATTAGAGTAGTAAACATAATAACTTCCTACTGTCCAAAAAAATGGTTTCACAACTAATCTATTTTACCTGTTCATTCTAAAGCGATCAATCACCTATAAACACGTTTTTCTGATGTTTTCTTAAAATCTCTGTGGAATATAGGTCCACTATCACTTCAGGAAATCTGTTCCAATGCTTCACTCTTACAGTCAGGAATTTTTCCTCTCAGGAAAGTGAATATTGCTTGTGGCTCTTCCTGCACCAGCACTGAGCTTCACTCTCAGTCTTTGCGTGTGGAGCAGAGGCAGTTTCGCACTGTTGCTGCAAAGTGCTCACGTCTCGCACTCTGGGAAGAGAGTAAAGAGGAGGGATGCAGTGATCTCTGGATGCTCATCGGGCCTGTTGCAACCTGTATCGAAACAAGCAATTTCACATGCTCTCACCTATCCTCACCTCTCATAAAACACTGTCTTCTGCAATAAAGTGAATGCGTGAGCGTCACTACTTTGATTTTCCTCTTCTAAGGAGAAAAACAGCGCTGTTTCCACGGAGGCTCCCCAGCCGCGGCGGCGGGGGGGCGTTTCTTTGGCCGGCCGGCGGGCTCGGCCGCTGCCTGCGGCGGGCTCGCCCTGCCCGCGCCCCCCGCCCCCGGCCGCTGATGCTGCGGCCGCCGCCCGCCGCCGCGCCCGCCCGCTCCCCCTCTGCCGGCGCTGCCGCAGAGCCTCCACCGCAACGCGAAGCCCACACAGCCGCTCCGGTCCGCCCCTCCTCTGGTCTGTCACGCTCGGCGGCTCCTCCGAGAGGCTCCTCGCTCCCTCCCTCAGCCTCACGCCGCGAGCAGGAGGCAGCGGCAGCTGGAGTGGAGGGAGCACCGCGTCTCTCCGCCGCCTGCGCCCCGGTAAGTGATGCTCCGGGCTGCCTACACTGCTCGAGAGAGCAACTTTTCCTTTTTCTTTCTTTCTTGCTTTCTTTCTTTTTTCATTTTTTTTCCTCTTTTTATTTTTTCGTGCTTGACTTCAACTTCTTCATGGGACTTAGAGTGGTCTTGCTTGCCGGGGACGGGGTAGAGCTCTCTTCGGGGCAGGTCGGGCGCTAGACGGCAGCGCGGGGTTCCCCCTCATCTCCGCGGTGAGCAGGAGCAGCCTGTGCCGCTGCTGCTCACTCCAGCTCTATCCAGATCTCGGTCTTTGCACAGAGAGAGCAGGTTACACACATCCGAGGAGGTATGAGCGTCTGATCTTCGCTTTAGGATCTGGTTTGTTAAAGCTGAAACTTTTGCACGCTAGGGGAGCAAAAACCAGGGGTGTCGATGTTCCAGATGTTCGAGGAATACAAATTTGCAGATGTTGTAGCAGTAAGGATGGTGAGGAGAACCAAAGGTGCAGAAACGTTGTCAATTCCAGTTCCTCAGGGGACCGACACTTTCTAAGATCTGTTAAGGAGGGGAACAATCAGCATTTCAGACCTTGCAACAGAAAAGGAAAGGGGGGAGGCCCGGCAGAATAAAACAAGGAGAATAACCAATTTAAGTGTTTTTGAAAACACTATTGCTTTTGTCACTATAGATTTCCTTCAAGGATTGTCACTTGCATTGACTGTGTTGAGAAAATAGTTTGGCATTCCTTACCCGTAAGAGGGAGAGAGGGATTCCTTTCTCTGCAGCTTTGGGAAAGGAGTTCTCCGAAACATACTAACTCCTGTTTTGCAAGGGGCTTTGGGAATTTAGGTCCTGAGATGATTCTGACATGTGTGGGGAGGAGAGAACAGAGAAATCATAGTGATGAAAAGTATAGTCCAGGTCCTAGTGTTAGGAAGAACCATGGGATGGTGGGACTTTTCAAGGCAACACACATCTAATTTAAAAAGGATTGCAGGATAGAAGAGCCTGAGGAATTAAAAGAGGCATAGGAGTTAGTCTGGCAGACCTGAGTGGAGACAGGACACCCCAGGGGCTGGAGGGCTGGGTGATAAAAATAATTGAATGTGTAGGTTACTGATTAGGTTTAGGGGCCTAATCCTGCAAAACACCGTGGGTGCAGCGTGAGTAGGGGACGAGGGTGGGAGCTGAGTCATCCTGGCTGGGGTGGGCACGGCACATCTGTACAGAAGGGAGGGGGCTGAGGAGAGAAGGAAAAGATGAGGAAGAAGCATGAAAAGATAGGTGGTGAGGAGGGAGGCTGTCTTATCGAAAGATGCTGAGATCACCCAGGCTTCTCTGTGATTGATAGTATCCTGCTCTCCTTTCCATAAAGGGTTAGGATGCTGCTGAGTGTAGCTCTGATGGAGGGGGGGATAGATTGCAGAGGTTAGTACAACACAAGGGAAACCTACTCAGACAAACACACTTGGTACTGCTGGTCCTTGGGCTGCATTGCACTGCAGTGCAGAGAGCTAACAGGAACTTCTGCCTTAGGCGAGAGAGGGAGCTGCTGAATTCATCTGTAAAGGTGGCACAAACTATGCCAAAACATACTGCTTCCCAAGGGAATTGTAGATAGAACTGCAAGTAGCGCTGTAAGGAGATACTGGAAGGATTTTCCTGATGAATTCACCATAAGCAACAAAGGGTTTCAGGAAGAAAGCTCCCAAATACAAGCCAAGTGAAGGTCTCCGATTGGATTAATTGTAAATAGTATATTTGTATTGGAAGTTTTCCTCCAAGTTCTCTAAGTGAATGGGTCCTGTTTTAACTGTGTCGTATATTCTCCAAAATAGATGTTTTACAAATTTTTTTTCAGGAGTTGAGTTCCCCACGGGAATGGAAACAATTTCACCATCTTGCAAAATATTAGCTTTTCCCTGTAACTGTTCATCTATTCAGTATTTTCCTGAATACTGAAAGCAGCATGGCAAACCAAACCCCATTCCTTCCCTCTCACCTAGGCATTTTTCTACAATTTTCCTGAATGATAGATTACTATTATAGTGTTTTGTTGGGGTTTTCTGTTTGTTTGTTTGGGGCTTTTTGTTTTGGTTTTTATTTTGTTTTTTTAAATCAGTTTCCTTAATGTGGGAGCAAAAAGTATCACTTTTGTATTCCAAATAAATGAAGAATTTGATAAAATATTCATACTAAGTTCCAAGTGGACTTCTACTTGGACTAAAGCTTTGTGTAGGCCAAATACAGAGAAAAAGGCAGTCAATTAAAATTATTGATTCACATTGAGCCTCCAAACATCTTGAATTGATAATTGAGGAAAAAGAAAAAACAAGAATTTGTTTAATGTCTGTGCTTCTAAAGCTGTATTCTTATGGTATTTCAATAAAAATGATCCTGAATATCAATAGCGCTGACTAAATACAGAGTTTCTCTGATGGCAATTTGATGTTAAATTATGTGTCATTGCTTTTGGTAAAAATGGATTTAAATTTGACCAAAAGGAATCAAACCAAATATTTTCTGGTTATATATTTGAGAAATCTAATTTATTTTCAAAAATAACAAAGCAAAGGTGTTAGTTTTTTTTTTTTTTTTTCAGTTCAGAGCAATGTGCTAAAAAGATACTTGCAAAAAAGGAAAACAATACTAAAAAATGTTACGTTTACAAGACATGGTGTTACATCAGGTAACAATGTGAAATCTGTAATTGAATGGATATATACCTGGGAATGTAAACTCGTGTAAGTTACTTCACTAGTGGCAGATTTCAAATTGGCTTTTTGAAATTTGTGTTTCAAAGCGCAACTGACAAAAGTTTATTCACAGAGGTCCTGATTATTCTGTTAAATCAGTGTGAATTGAATTGTAGGTTTCAGTGTGAAGTAAAATGAATCCAGCTATATAATTATCTAGGGTTTTGGTTAGTTGTGTTTTCTCTTTTTATTTTCTTTTTTGTTGGTTTGTTTATTTGTTTGATTTGGGTTCTTTTTCTTGCATGAAAGTAGTATTAATAAAAATATTTCACATTCTCAATATTATAAAAGTTCTTTGAGCATCACAGGCAGATTGCTTGGGCTGTATATTGCTGTGAATCTTTGCAACCCATACGCACCACAGGATGCATATCAATGCATGTTTAAACAAAAGCTCATCAATTAGATTAAATGTGTTTGCAAACCTGTGATAGGGAACTCACAGCTGCTGCCACTGCTTTCATATGATGTAGTGCATACCATTTTCCTACTAAAACAGAATGGAGTCCTTTGTAAAATGACTCAGAGGACTAGATTTACAGCTTGTCTTCTTTTAAGTGTTTGTAAGTAACATAAAGAAAAAAAATATTGAAAGTCTGCTCAAAGTATTGATATTGCAAAGGAAAGGGTAGTTGGATTTTCCTTTTAACTTAGCAAACTGCTTCAGTTTCAAAGTATGTTATGTATTCTCTAGTATCTTTGTTACAAAACACGGTGGGCCTCTTTTTCCATAAAGCGGTGCTTGATAACCTAACACCTTTAATTCATCTTTGATTTTCTATATTGCTACATAGTTCATCTAGAGATATTCTAAACATAGAGAGTACATAGTCTTGTGTAAATACGTATGTTACAGGTCAGTGATCTATCAGTCAGGTTTGTTTTCAAATTGCCATTTTTATGTCAGCAAGAGATAAATAAGTGTGCATGAAATAAACTCAGATGTAAATTTTTTAGCATGATTATTATTGAAGTGTTTGTCCTCTTGTAAGAAAAAAAAAACAAATGGAGGAAAGCAACAGCGAGCACAATCCTTCCTCTGTGGTTCCAACTCTCAGTTGTTTTCTCAACCAGAGGGGCTAATAAAAGTTTAAATGTTGCATACACAACAAACAAAATTGCTTAAAGGTGTAATACAATGTAATTCACTGTAATAATACTAAGATATCACTAGCATCCTTTCATTTTTGAGACTGAATCCTTACCTCTGTTTGTATTTCTGCTGACTGCTGACAGTAAAGACTTGCTATGCATTAACAAAACATCAGAGACTTTCATGATTAGGTGGAGATTCCATCCAAATATTTATAATTGAACTAAAGATGCAATGTATTAAAAATACAAATGACACTTACCACATAATTTATCTGCTTCAGCACACAAGGCATATAGCTTTATATTGATCTGGGACTCATAAAAAACATGGTGCTGCTGCAGCTTCATGTTTCTTTGCCAGCCGCAAGATTTTTTTTTTAAGATAAAGCAGCATCCCTGTAGCTGGCTCTCTCTTTCACTGCAGGTTATTTCTGTGGTCATGGCTGCATGGGCCTAGTTATGTGCTTTGTTCTAGAGTGGAAGTCTGAGTCCCACAAACCCATTTTGATTTTTGACGGAAAATCCATGTTACAATGCATACAGCTTGTAGCAGCATTAAAGCATCCTGCAGGATTTTTCCCCATTAATGATCACATGAGGTTTTGTGTAGGGAAAAAAGCTTCATGAGATGCATTATGGAAAACAATTATTTAATCACTATTTTACCATTTAACCATGGTAACTGGAATGGAGAGAGGACTTTATTCACAGAGCCTCACAGGGCCTCCGCATCTTTAGCTGATACCATTTTCATTCTGTATGGAGCTGGAGAATAAAATTCACTTTCTGTAAGCATAGCAGTGCTTATCCCAAGATGTCTTTGCAAAATGTATTCTACCATCCCCACCTCCCTTAACCATAGAAGGTTTTCCTTTTATCTGGCAATCGCAGCTGTTGCTGCAGCCTTACAAAAGCGGTTCCCTGTAATATTCTTAAGGCTGTGAAATTAATGACTTCTTGGATCAGAAATGTCCATGAGCCAGCAGCGTGTACTGGTGGCAAGAGTGGTATCCTGAGAGGCATAAGGAAAAGCATTGTCAGGAGGTCATGGAAGGTGATGCTACCCCTCTACTCAGCCCTAGCAAGATCTCCCCAGGAGTGCTGTGCCTACTTCTGGAGTCCTCAGGAAAGGGAGACATGTGTTTCCTAGGGTGAGTTCAGTGGAGGGTG